AAGAGACCCGCCCCCACCCAGGGCAGGTGGGTGCTGAGGCCACCTATAGAGCATTGGCATGAATTCTTGCTAGCCTGAACCACAAACCTCTGCTTACCTGTGACCCCAGGAGTTTGTGGTGCTCCCTCCTTCACCCACTTTGGCCCTTTAGGCTTAGCCCCATCCATTTTTCTTCTTCCCTCTTGAATGCAGTAATCTCTCTACTGACAAAAGTGACCATGGTTACTCTGACCTGCATGTGTGTGACACTGATGCTGGCCAGGTCTGGCCCAGTCAGCGTGCCAAGCTAAGCTCAGGCCCCTTCTCTCATGCCAGGGTATATTGGTCCTGCCACCTGCTCCCCTCCCCATGAAATACCCAAGCAGCCCTTGTTTTTGAGGCAATGGAATTTAACAGCCCTAGGGATGGTGGGGGTGAGGTTGAAGGAGCAGTAGAACCTCCCTGAGCCCACCTGCTCTCCCCCCAGCTCTGGAAGGGTGGGTCAGAAGCTGGGGTAGAGCTGGGCTCCAGGAGGAAGAGGTATGATGGGCTACAGAGTGTAAAGATGCTGCCCTGTAGACCTTGAGTTTGGGGGTGAGCTGACATGATGGGGGAAGGGCAATGTCAGCCCAGCTTCCTCTATCCTAGTAGGCTCTGGAGTCAGACAGACCAAGTTTGAGTCCTGACACTGTCACTTACAACTGTGACTTTGGGAAGCCACTTCTCTGAGCCTCAGTTGGCCCATCTGTAAAATGGGGTTAAACTCTCATGACATTTGTAAGGATTTAAAAATATAATTAATGAAAAATGCATAAGCACAGTAAAGACACCCAGCAAGCCCTCAATACATGATCTACACTGCTGCTGCAGCGGTGGTGGCACAGGTACAAAGATAAGGCCATGCACAAAATTGCAGTGTTTGGCCAACCTCTAGAGGGAGGTCAGCCAGGTCACCTGAGGGAGGTTTCTTCCCTGCCTGGTCCTACTGGTCCTATACCAGATCCTTGGGCCTGCTACAGGAAGCTCAGAGGTTCTGGAAGGGAGAGTCACGCTCCCCCACCTCCCCCCAGTACCTCACCTCCACTTACCAGAATGTGGGTGTCCCTGCCAGCCTGTGAGATGGGATGGGGACTCCTTAGCCTGAAGCAGCCTGATTTCTCTTCCTTTCCTCTCACTGCTTCTGTCTCTAACTTTTGCCAATGCCAGAGACCTGCTTCCCTGAGACAGAGAGAGAAGGGGGAGCTGGAGGCACAGTGAGGAGATAGAGGTTCTCCAGTGTTTAAAGAGGAAAGTGCCCATCTCTACCTTTTAATCACAGGCTGAAATTGGTGACATTAGGTAGTGTATTTAAGACATCTGTCCCCACCCCTTGCCACCCTCTTAGGAAAAGAGCTGCCCTTAAAAGCATGATGCTGTTTGCATAATAAAGGAATGGCGGTTTTAACAAAGAAATAAAAATTATTAAAGAACATCAGAGTCTGCAGTCTAGTTAGCCATTTGACACCCCATTTCCAGGGTTGGAGCTGCTGCTTGCATATCCTAGAGCGTGTCCTCCCCTTCTGCTGAAAGCAGGCTGGGGATGGGTCTGGTGGAGGGTAGCAGTGGAGGCTTGGGCTCAGGTTAGAGCTGAAATCCTGCACTTCAGCCCTTTTCAGAAATAATCAGCCTGAGCAGGGGCCCTTGAGAACTGGGATCACTCCAAAGTCAGGTTCTTCAGGCAGGATCTTCTGGCTCCTCCTGCAGATGGGGCCTCTGGCTCCATTTCCATCCTCCTCCACTCCTCCATAACCAGTTCCCCCAGAATCTGGAGAGGAAAAACTCTGGGACTCCAGTTTTCTGAGGGTCTGGAGAAATCCCTGAGGACCTGGAAGCCCCCATTTCAGCTTGGCCCGAGAGAGAGCAGGCAAGCTCTCCGGTGGAGGTCAACCCAGTGTGTGAAGCCTCTGGCGCTCCTGATCTGAGCTCTGATTAGACTGGAATGTTCCCAGTCTGGTTCTTAGTGAGGTCTGCAGAGAGATGGTGTGAGACTGTCTAGTTGTCCCAGGTTCCTCAGGCTTAGAAACTCGCAGGCCCTAAAGTCAGGGCCTGCGATTCCTGGCCCACAAAGCCCTCTTCTCTTGCCTCTGCCACTCTCACCCTTCCTCCCCCCCTTTCTAGGTAGCCCTCAAAGGTCTTAGGCTCCCATGAGCCCTGCTCATAGGGTCTGCTCTGCCCCTACCACCTGTCATTCCTTTCATCTTTCTAATTTATTTCTATTCTTTCTTTAGGACTCCCTTCCAGGAAGCTAAGCTGACCCCTCCCTATCTCAGGCTAGGCTGGCTGTCCCTCCATGTCTGTCTCTAGAGTACTAACCTTCTGTCTCCTTTCACCACTGCAACCTGCCTGAGCACAGGGAGAGCGCCACTGCTTGGCCCCAGTACACACACAGGACCTGCATATGGGAGGCGCTCAATTTGAACAGATCAATGAGTGGTGCCCAGACTTGTCGTTTTAAGAGTCCATAGTTTAGCCCTGGCCAGTTTGGTTCAGCGGTTAGCATGTCGGCCCGCAGACCAGAGAGTCCATGTTTGGTTCCTGCTAAGGGCATGTTTGGCCCTGGCTCTGGTTGGGGTTGTGTGGGTGGCAACCACTTGATGTATTTCTCTCACATCAATGTTTCTCCCCCCCCCCCCACTCTATCTGAAGAAAAATGCAAAAAAAAAAAAAGAGTCCATAGTTTATGGTAAATGTGAGAGTGGGAGGGGGCGACACCTGCCCTTAAATGCTTTTCCCACACCTGAGGCCATCTCTCCCCTCTCTAAGCCTGGATTTTAGGCCTTCTTTTGTTCCTGCTTAAATCCACCCCCACTGTTACCACCCGGTAAGAGCTGGGAAGAAGTGCAGCAGAGGAGCTGATATGGGCACCAGCCAACTGAGGGCCTTGACCCATCTCCTCTTCTGCAAGATGAATAATTACAGCACCTTCTTAGGGTGGCTTTAGGGAGTAAGTATAATAATTTCCTCCCCCCTCCTGGTTTCCCTTGACAAAGGACAACTCTCTCTCTCTCTTTTTTTTAATCCTCAGCCGAGGACATTTTTCAATATTTTGTTCAGATAGAGTGGACGGAAGAGAGAGAGAGAAACATCAATGTGAAAGGGACACATCAAGTGGTTGCCACCCACACAACCCAACCAGGGACAAACTGCAACCAAGGTACGTGCCCTTAGCAGGAACCAAACCCAGGTCTCTCTGGACCACAGGCCAACGCTCTAACTGCTCAGCCAAACCAGCCAGGTCTCTCTCTCTTTTTTTAAATTTGTTTTTCCTTTATTGATTTTAGAGAGAAAGGAAAGGGAGAGAGAGAAACATCGATGAGAGAGAACATCATTTGGCTGCCTCCTACATGCCCCCCACTGGGGATTTGGCCCACAACCTGGAAATCAAACTGGCGACCTCTTGGTGCATGGGTCGATGCCCAACCACTGAGCAACACTGCCTGGGCCAACTCTCTTTTCTGAAGGTCCATGACCTACTCTGGAGAGGAGATGGTAGCTCCGGGTTCTGGCTTGGCACCCTATTTGAAGTAGTTCTGTACCCCTCACCCCTACCCAAACCCTCCCTACCTTGCCACAATGCAGAAGCCAGGAGGTCAGCTCTAGGACAAGTGGCAGTGGTGTCCAGGGGAAGCTCCTGGGCACATAGGAAAAATGAGTCACTTCAGTGGCAGATTCTCTATCCCCATAATTATTTGGCTTTGAGTTCAGAGAACACTTCTGGCTTTTTAAAATTTTAATATATAAAAAAAACTTTTTTTTTTCTTTATTGATTTTAGAGAGAAAGGAAGTGAGAGATAGAAACATTGATGAGAGAGAACATCGACTGGCTGCCTCCTGCATGCCCCCCACTGGAGATCAGGCCCACAACCTGGGCATGTGTCCTGACTGGGAATAGAACTGGCAACCTCTTGGTGCATGGGTCAATGCTCAACCACTGAGCCACACCGGCTGGACTTTAATTGATTTTTTAGAGAGAGAGAGGAAGGGTGAGAGAGATAGAAACATCGATGTGAGAGAGAAACATGGATTGGCTGCCTCCTGCATCCCACTCCAACCCCCCAGGGATTGAGCCGAAACCAGGGCATGTGCCCTGACTGGGAATAGAACTGGGACCTCTCAGTCCATGGGATGAGGCTCGATTCACTGAGCCACACCAGCTGGCCGAGAACACCTCTGTCTTTATGAGCATGTCCTCAATCTTATGACTGACTGCTTGCAAGGTGCCAGAGCCTGGGAAATCACTTCCTAAGCCCAAGGTGGGGAGCAGAGTCAGCCCAAGCATCTGGGGAGCTTAGCCATCAGCAACATGGAATCTTTGAGCAGGCCGGCTGCTGCCTCCCTGTCCAGGCATCTGGAGGCCTCATTGTCCACCCTCAGGCCACCATCCCCAAGACCAGAAAGACACTATGTGGAAGCAGGATGAACCTGGCCAAGTGCCAAGGCCAGCAAAGCACTCACCCCTTCTCTGCTGTGCTCCTCTATCCCCCAGCTCAGGCACCTGGGGATGCTATATAAGAAGGATGGAAGGCATGAACCCTAGAGGCAGACAGGTCTGTTTTAATACTGTGTGTGACCTTGGGCAAGTGACTTCATTTCTCTAAGCCTCAGTTTCCTAAGCTATAAAATGGGAATAACACCAGCAAGTCTCCTTTAGAAAGTTATAAAGATTAAATAATAAAATTCATATATTGCATTGAGCTCCGAGCACACATATTAAGTGAATGATAACTGGTAGTGCTGCCATAATTATTATCTGTCCCTTACTGTGTTCCCAGGATCTACCCAGGATACTTTAATGCTGTCCAACCTAAAAGAGTCTGAATCCGTTGAACATTTATAATTCTTTAAAGAGGAGCTCAGTTAACTGAAACGAGAGGAGAGGCCCAGCAGGTTCTAAGGAAAGAGCTGCTATCCTTTTTTGCCCCCACCAGCAGGGCCCTACATGGTTCTGCTGCTGTCCTTACCTTTTCACATCCAAAAGCTCAGGGAGGTCTTGCTGCATCTTCCCCATGTGGGAACCAAGCCCCGCCACCTGAGGACCAAGTTCCATAGCCTGGAAGCTGTGGGCCTCTCCAGCTGCTTGAGAGCGGGGTGAATGCATGCCTGGCCAAAAAAGTGATGACAAGGATCACACCTTTGCTCAGTGTCATCCTTTCTGGCTTTCCAATGAGGATTCTCAAACTTCTCTCCATAAAGATGACTCATGGGCAATAATACCAGCAGCAGAAGTGGCCCCTTTCTTTATGATGGGGGATTTCAGGGGAACCAAAATCTAGCTACAAAGTTTTGTTGCAACTGTGAATGTAGACTGGCTGGAAGGGGAGCAGGGAAAAGGCTGAGACCCACATCCCCAAAGATGTGGGCCATGGAGAAAAGCAGGCACATAAAGCACTCCTCTAGGTCCCAGGCACTGGCCTCACTAGGTGGAGTCATGCAAGGAGTTAACAACCCCCCCCCCTCCCCACCCCAGCATCATCATCTCAGCCACATCTGTAAAGACAAAAGGAAGCAAAATGCAGAGACCACTGCTGTCGGAGGGTCTAGGCTCCTTCATCTACTAGAGGCTGCTGCTGGTTAACCTGTGGCAGTGATATCGGCACTTGTGTGTCAGCTCAAGGACCCTGGTATTCCTAGGCAAGCTACCCTGGCATTCATTCCAGATGAGACCAAGAACAAGGACTGAGGTCAGTTGGTGATCCTGGCCACACTGTGCTCCTTAAAGCTGAGGCCAGAGTCAAGCTCTCCACAGGGTACAGCACTCTCCCTGTGCCAGTCACCAGCAGGTGTTGGCACTATAGTGAGGAATTGGCCCTGCTGGGGGCCCTGCATCCCTATTCAGAGGGAGCACAGGGATCCTCAGCTTTCTCTGAGCCATGAGTGGTATGAGATGGGCCATGGAGGGGCTGCCTCCTGCCTTTGTACCAGTATACCCAGGTCAAGTCCCCTGGCTATCTGGCCAGTACAGTTCTTACCTGGAAGCAGGGCAGCTGTCCCACCCAGATCCAGGCCAGAATGTGGTGTGGGAGAGAAGCCAAAGTAAAGTGAATCCAAGCATCTAGGATGGCTATTTTGTTGGATGAGTCCCAGGCTGGGAACCTTGCTGCCCCTATCCTGAGGAATGGGGTCTGAGACTAATCCTGGTCAGACCTGTATAACGAGAAGCCTGAGAATGAGTGGAGTGTTGGGGGTAGGGGATGAGAGGTGTGAATATCAATGTGCCAAACCTCTTCACATTTCTTGTAGAGGTTCTTTTGTTAAATGCCCAAATCTCAGACCCTCCCATGGAGCGCAAGAGGTTGGGTCAAAGTGGGCCCCACAGCCTGAAACCCCATCCCTTGGCTGGCCTGGAAATTTCAGCCAGTTACCACATGGGGCACTACCTCCTGCCACCAATCGACAGGCAGCAAAGCAAGGCGTCTGACATCCTCAGTAAGGGCCATGAGGAGGGGCTAGCAGATTTCCTGGGTGGGGATGGAAGGATAGGGTTTAGGGAGGGGCCTTCTTGAGCTCCTAGGTCATGTTTCAGGAGGAAGATAAACACCATACCAGGTTCTGCCAGGTATGTGACTTGGTCAGTCTCCTCCTTCTGCCCCTCCCACTCAGACTGGCTCCTGCTCTCCCCACCCTCTGTGCATGTGTTCTTCCTGTGATTCTCTTTATCATGGTGTATAATTCTCTGTTTGCCAGATAATGTGTCTCCCCTATGGACTGTGAGTCTGCAGGGTGGTACTAGCAGGATGGCTGGGGCTATGCTTATCTTCATCACTGTCTCCCTAGTATTTGGCACAGGGCCTAGCACATAGTAGGTGTTTTATACACATTTGGTGAATGAATGAGTTAAAGAATAAATTCCTCCACCAGACACCACGAGCTTTCCAAGGGCAGGGACTACTTCTTGTTTATTTTTTATCTCCAACCCCTGGCATGGCGCCTGGCACAAAATAGGTACTCACTAAATTGTGTGGGATGGAAGACTCGCTGGGTGAAAGTGGGCCATGAGAAGTCTTTGCAGATGTGTCCATGAGACTCCTGTCTCTATCCCTTCCCACCCCTGACATACTGGGGACATGGCCTTCTCCTCTAAGTAGCTCTCCTGGGAACAAAGGTGTCCCCTGCAGGGCTGAGAAGGGGGAAGGGTAGTGCCTGATTCTAGAAGAGGGTGGGAGGTGAGGCCTCTGGTGGGTAAACTGCGGGTGCTCTTCCAGGCTGATTGCTGCATTCAGATGAATAGGGAAGGTCCGTGGGAGCCACGCCTGGTCAGCACTCACCTCTGAGAAAAAGCTCAAAGAAGATGCAGAGTTGGCAGCAGAGCTCCCACAAGTGCCACTCTTCAGACATGAAGGTCTTGTGGTCACGTGGGGCTCTGGATTTCAGCCCGCTCCTTGATTTCACAGAACCAGGAAGTCTCAGAGACACACGGAACCGAAGGACAGAGGGCACAGGTGTGGGATATTGTACTGGGCTTGGAGTAGATCTGCACTGTCAGTAGGCATAGCATTAGTCAGTTCGTGATGTTCCTGGGAAGCGAGGCTCCCTCAGGGAAGCAGTCTCTCAGGCTCTTGACCATAAGATCAATAATAGATCAATTGCTTTTCTTTCTTTTTGTTAACCCTCACCCGAGGACATTTTTGAGAGAGTGGAAGGGAGGGAGGGGGAAGAGAAAGGGAGAAACACATAGATTAGTTGCTTCCTACCAGCCCGCCTGCCCGCCGCGCCCAACCGGTCTGGGATCCAACCTGCCACCCAGGTACGTGACTGGGAATCTAACCCGAGACCCTTTGGTGTGCGGGCTGATGCTCTAACCACTGACCCACACAGGCCAGGGCCATAAGATCAATTTCTGGGCCCATCTTCGAATGTCCAGATAAACTGAGGAGGAGACAGAATATCCTGGGACCCAGGTCTGGAAATTTGAAGACTGTAGTTTGTAGCCCAACCCTGTATCTCAGAGCTTGAAAGAGATTTTGGCTATATAACCATGACCCCTCTCAGCTGACAAAGAAAGGGTCTTATCTTGTTGACTCCCGGTGGGCAGAGGAGCGCATTCATTAAGAACTCCTTCCCCCAGGGGTTTGTCTGTGCACCTATCTCACTAGCATGAATCAAAATAAAGACTGACACAGACATTAGCCACGGCACCGCCCTCCTGCTGTGGAAACGGGCTAAATGTTAGGGTTTGAAACCAGAGCTTGAGACATAATTTAACCTTTAGCTCTTGCTTTGAGGGTTGCAAAAAACCCCAAATCTAACTCAACCAAACCAAAATAAAATGTAGGTGACTGACTAGCAGGCAAGTAGAGACATACTATTTCAAAGACTCCCCTTGAAACGAAATATAAACTGGACTTATTCAGTGGTAGAAATATTTACCTAGAATGGATATTGCCTAGTGTGTGGGCACAAAGAGGATTTTTTAAAACCCACACATAAAGGTTTATCACCGCCCTTGCCGGTATGGCTCAGTGATTTAGAGCGTCGGCCTGCCGCACGGAACGGTTGCGGGTTTTAGGGTCGCGGGTTTTAGGGTCGCGGATTCGAAGGATGGCGATTCAAGGGGCCGCGGTTCCAAATATGGCGATTCAAGGAGCCGCGGTTCGAAGGATCGCGATTCAAAGGGCCGCGGTTCGAAGGATCGCGATTCAATGGGTCGAGGTTCGAAGGATCGCGATTCAATGGGTCGCGGTTCGAAGGATCGCGATTCAAAGGGTCGCGGTTCGAAGGATGGCGATTCAATGGGTCGCGGTTCGAAGGATGGCGATTCACAGGGTCGCGGTTCGAAGGATGGCGATTCAAAGGGTCGCGGTTGGAAGGACGGAGATTCAAAGGGTCGCGGTTCGAAGGATGGCGATTCAAAGGGTCGAGGTTCGAAGGATGGCGATTCAATGGGTCGCGGTTCGAAGGACGGCGATTCAATGGGTCGCGGTTCGAAGGATGGCGATTCAAAGGGTCGAGGTTCGAAGGATGGCGATTCAATGGGTCGCGGTTCGAAGGACGGAGATTCAAAGGGTCGCGGTTCGAAGGATGGCGATTCAAAGGGTCGAGGTTCGAAGGACGGCGATTCAAAGGGTCGCGGTTGGAAGGACGGAGATTCAAAGGGTCGCGGTTCGAAGGATGGCGATTCAATGGGTCGCGGTTCAAAGGACGGCGATTCAAAGGGTCGCGGTTCGAAGGACGGCGATTCAAAGGGTCGCGGTTGGAAGGACGGAGATTCAAAGGGTCGCGGTTCGAAGGATGGCGATTCAAAGGGTCGCGGTTGGAAGGACGGAGATTCAAAGGGTCGCGGTTCGAAGGATGGCGATTCAAAGGGTCGAGGTTCGAAGGATGGCGATTCAATGGGTCGCGGTTCGAAGGACGGAGATTCAAAGGGTCGCGGTTCGAAGGATGGCGATTCAAAGGGTCGCGGTTCGAAGGATGGCGATTCAAAGGGTCGCGGTTCGAAGGATGGCGATTCAAAGGGTCGCGGTTGGAAGGACGGAGATTCAAAGGGTCGCGGTTCGAAGGACGGAGATTCAAAGGGTCGCGGTTCGAAGGATGGCGATTCAAAGGGTCGCGGTTGGAAGGACGGAGATTCAAAGGGTCGCGGTTCGAAGGATGGCGATTCAAAGGGTCGAGGTTCGAAGGATGGCGATTCAATGGGTCGCGGTTCGAAGGACGGAGATTCAAAGGGTCGCGGTTCGAAGGATGGCGATTCAAAGGGTCGCGGTTCGAAGGACGGAGATTCAAAGGGTCGCGGTTCGAAGGATGGCGATTCAAAGGGTCGCGGTTGGAAGGACGGAGATTCAAAGGGTCGCGGTTGGAAGGACGGAGATTCAAAGGGTCGAGGTTCGAAGGATGGCGATTCAAAGGGTCGCGGTTGGAAGGACGGAGATTCAAAGGGTCGCGGTTCGAAGGATGGCGATTCAAAGGGTCGCGGTTGGAAGGACGGAGATTCAAAGGGTCGCGGTTGGAAGGACGGAGATTCAAAGGGTCGAGGTTCGAAGGATGGCGATTCAAAGGGTCGCGGTTGGAAGGACGGAGATTCAAAGGGTCGCGGTTCGAAGGATGGCGATTCAAAGGGTCGAGGTTCGAAGGACGGCGATTCAAAGGGTCGCGGTTGGAAGGACGGAGATTCAAAGGGTCGCGGTTCGAAGGATGGCGATTCAAAGGGTCGAGGTTCGAAGGATGGCGATTCAAAGGGTCGCGGTTCGAAGGACGGAGATTCAAAGGGTCGCGGTTCGAAGGATGGCGATTCAATGGGTCGCGGTTGGAAGGACGGAGATTCAAAGGGTCGCGGTTCGAAGGATGGCGATTCAAAGGGTCGCGGTTCGAAGGATGGCGATTCAATGGGTCGAGGTTCGAAGGATGGCGATTCAAAGGGTCGCGGTTCGAAGGATGGCGATTCAATGGGTCGCGGTTGGAAGGACGGAGATTCAAAGGGTCGAGGTTCGAAGGATGGCGATTCAAAGGGTCGAGGTTCGAAGGACGGCGATTCAAAGGGTCGCGGTTCGAAGGACGGCGATTCAATGGGTCGCGGTTGGAAGGATGGCGATTCAATGGGTCGCGGTTCGAAGGATGGCGATTCAATGGGTCGCGGTTCGAAGGACGGCGATTCAAAGGGTCGTGGTTCGAAGGATGGAGATTCAAAGGGTCGCGGTTCGAAGGACGGCAATTCAATGGGTCGCGGTTCGAAGGATGGCATTCAAAGGGTCGAGGTTCGAAGGACGGAGATTCAAAGGGTCGCGGTTCGAAGGATGGCGATTCAAAGGGTCGAGGTTCGAAGAACGGCGATTCAAAGGGTCGAGGTTCGAAGGACGGCGATTCAATGGGTCGCGGTTGGAAGGACGGAGATTCAAAGGGTCGCGGTTGGAAGGACGGAGATTCAATGGGTCGCGGTTCGAAGGATGGCGATTCAAAGGGTCGAGGTTCGAAGGACGGCGATTCAAAGGGTCGCGGTTCGAAGGATGGCGAATCAAAGGGTCGCGGTTCGAAGGATGGCGATTCAAAGGGTCGCGGTTCGAAGGATGGTGATTCAATGGGTCGCGGTTGGAAGGACGGAGATTCAAAGGGTCGTGGTTGGAAGGACGGAGATTCAATGGGTCGCGGTTCGAAGGATGGCGATTCAAAGGGTCGAGGTTCGAAGGACGGAGATTCAATGGGTCGCGGTTCGAAGGATGGCGATTCAAAGGGTCGCGGTTCGAAGGATGGCGATTCAATGGGTCGCGGTTGGAAGGACGGAGATTCAAAGGGTCGCGGTTGGAAGGACGGAGATTCAAAGGGTCGCGGTTCGAAGGACGGAGATTCAATGGGTCGCGGTTCGAAGGATGGCGATTCAAAGGGTCGAGGTTCGAAGGACGGAGATTCAATGGGTCGCGGTTCGAAGGATCGCGATTCAAAGGGTCGCGGTTCAAAGGACGGAGATTCAAAGGGTCGCGGTTCGAAGGACGGAGATTCAATGGGTCGCGGTTCGAAGGATGGCGATTCAAAGGGCCGCGGTTCCAAGGATGGCGATTCAAAGGGTCGCGGTTCGAAGGATGGCGATTCAATGGGTCGCGGTTGGAAGGACAGAGATTCAAAGGGTCGCGGTTGGAAGGACGGAGATTCAAAGGGTCGCGGTTCGAAGGACGGAGATTCAATGGGTCGCGGTTCGAAGGATGGCGATTCAAAGGGTCGAGGTTCGAAGGACGGAGATTCAATGGGTCGCGGTTCGAAGGATCGCGATTCAAAGGGTCGCGGTTCGAAGGACGGAGATTCAAAGGGCCGCGGTTCGAAGGACGGAGATTCAAAGGGTCGCGGTTCGAAGGATGGCGATTCAAAGGGTCGCGGTTCGAAGGATGGCGATTCAAAGGGCCGCGGTTCGAAGGATGGCGATTCAATGGGTCGCGGTTCGAAGGATGGCGATTCAAAGGGCCGCGGTTCGAAGGATGGCGATTCAATGAGTCGCGGTTCGAAGGATGGCTATTCAAAGGGTCGCGGTTGGGCCCTGGCCAGTTTGGCTCAGCGGTTAGAGCGTCGGCCTGTGGTCCGGAGAGGCCCAGGTTCGGTTCCTGCTAAGGGCACGTACTTCGGTTGCAGTTTGTCCCCGGCCCTGGTTGGTCGTGCGGGTGGCAGCCACTTGATGTGTCCCTTCACGTCGATGTTTCTCTCTCTCTCTCCCTTCCTCTCTCTCCCTCCCACTCTATCTGTACAAAAAATGGAAAAATGTCCTCGGGTGAGGATAAAAAAAAAAATAAAGAAAAGAAAGGGTCGCGATTGGAAGGATGGCGATTCAAAGGGTCGCGGTTCGAAGGATGGCGATTCAATGGGTCTCGGTTCGAAGGATGGCGATTCAAAGGGTCGCGGTTCGAGGGA